GACATTTTTCTTTATATTGTTTAGTCATATAGTTAGAAGTATTATAAATATTTACGTTAAAATCGCCTATGATAACTATGTGGAAAGACTTTCTTTATGTGTCTAAAATAAGCTCTGTTAATTTAGCATCTATTTGTTTTCTAAGGTTGATTTGTGTATTATTGCTATGATTTGCAGGAAGATAAATTTGAAAGTTCCTTAGTTTAGTTTTGTTCTTGAACTGGAGGTCAATATAGACTATTTTGTCAAAGATAAACTCGTAAAAAAAATGTGATCATACAAATAGTTTCTAATAATAAAACTAACGTCTTAACTAAAGATGGGAACTGTAATTAATATGTTGCAACTTTTAATGTTGCAACTTACGTTGCAATTAGTTTTAACCTATATATGTTGCAACTTATAATGTTGCAACATATGTTGCAACTAATTTTAGTTTATGTTGCAACATTTTGTAAATTTGAAATCAATTGCTGTACCATCTTTAGTCTTAACAGTTTTGTGACAGATTATTTGATGAAAATAGAAAATGATAAGGTTTTGATTTTAGGTTACGCAAATAATAAAAGGCTTGCAATTTGTTAAAATGAGTTTCTGAGAAACCTAAAATATCTATGTTGTAATTAATAAAAAATTGTTCGATTTGTATTAGTTTAACATCTAAAGTACAGTTTCTAACATTATATATAGTGAAAGAAAAAGTTTTTGATTATTGCATTACGTTTGAAAATTATCGTTTGTGAATTTATTCTTATTATATTGATATTTTTGGACATCATTGGTATTATTGGTATTTCATACTGTCATCAATTGAAATGAGATAATGCTTAAAGAATTGGTGAAATTATGGCTATAAAGCTGCGCATTTCATCTTTAATTTCATTGACAGATGATTCAATAAGGCTGATACGTCAAAGATTTTTAGTTGGAGATAATGGTGATACATTTTGGTTCTGAATAGTGGTAGTCATTTGGAAAATTTGTGGTTCAGGAGTTTGATCATTGATGAGCATTAGAAAGTCATCGTGTGATGGGAATTCGTAATTTGGATCAGCAACATGATTTGGATCATATTCAATATTGTGCATGAATTTTAGATGATTCAGATGAAAACCAATGTCATTTATATCATCCGCATGGATTGTAAGGTCAGATTTGATAGCTTTAATTTCATTATCGATTGCAAGGAGTCTATTTTCAAATGAGCCAAGCCTTTCTTGTACTAATTTGAAAGCATCAAAGACATTTTGTGGTGTCTTAGGAGGATTCTTAATAATAGGTCATTTTTGATTAGTGAGAATATTTGCAAACAAAGGGTCGTTTAGGTTGCTTTTGTTGAAAATACGAGATGGTCGGTATTGTTCAGGTTTAAAATAGTTGTACAAAAGTTTGTACAGATTTGCAGGTTTTAGATTTGAGTAATCTTTGAATTCATGTCCAGGTGCATTACAGCTGTGACAGTGTTTAACAGAAGGGTCTATCCAGAATAGGATTCTTCCTTTAAATTTATGGGTCTGTGTTATCGCAGCATCCTGATCATCTAAAAAAGTAAATTTGATGAAAGCGTAAGGTCTGAGAGGATATTGTTGATCTCTGAGAATGAAGCAAGATTTAGCCTTAATGTGTATGAGAAAGTCCTGTAGTTGTAGTTAAGTAGTATTTAAAGGGAGACCAGTCAATTTTAGTTCAAATTGTTAACGTAATGAAATTTGCATAGGATCTAGGTCGGTAGACTCTATATGTAGAGCATTTTCAAGAAATTGGATAGACCAGTAATCATCATAGAAAGGTTTGATAGTTTCAGCTTTTTCGAAGACAATAAAGGCAATTTGCCATGGACTGCAGATGAATCTGGTGATCTTATCATGTTTGGCAAAGTAATTTCGTAGTACATCTGATTTAACAAACAAAAGGATGTCAGAGATCTTCAGGATCCTTCCTTTTTCAGCATCTTGTTTAATCTGCTTTTAGTACTGTGAAGATTGGATTATATTGTGTTTCTTGCATATTCTTGATTGTATGCAGGAGTTCATTCATTGTACGAAAGTAGACAAAGAATTTTCTCATTTTGGAAATATAATTGGAGCCTTGATAGCTGTTATAGCGGATGAATAAAGAGTTAACATTTGTACGTTTTTCTGCAATAGAATTGCCTTTTATATCAGACGCATTATCAGTCGTGTAAAAATACGTTGAAGTAATAATAACATTATAGGTAGCCTCTGTATTTTCTTGTTCACATGAATCATTTTCAGAAAGTTCGTCAGACCAAAATTGTTTAGCTTTTCTTTTTCATCAGGAAGTTCGTAGTCAAATCCTGTGTCTTCAAATATATTGTTAGCATTGTTTTTAGCATGCATAGAATCGTTGGTTGTAAGTATAGGTAAAATTGGAGTTTGTTGGTTAGGTTGAATAACAGTGAGTCAACTTCCATTTCAGCTGGTAAGTATCAGTATTTTTTAAGGGTTGTAAGTTTTTTAAGGGGGTTAGGATAACAGTTTCTGAAAGTTGATTGATAACAATATTTTGTACTGTGATATTATCGGTTTGTTCATTTGAAGTAGTAGTTGTTTTTTGTTTTTTTAGAGAAGTGTTTTTGTTTGTATCTATAGTTTTAGAACTAGAAGCTTTGCTGTTATTGTTGTAATTTGTTCGTTTGTTAGTTTGTTGTATTCATTTGTGTTGTTTGTTAGCTGAAATAGCTCTAGTAACAAACATTTTATTTTCATTGTCAATCTTTTTTAAGAAATTGGGAGGTCATAAGAGAAAGTTTTTTTTTACAAACAAATCAATTTTACTACTTTTTTTTTTTAAAGATGCAGTTAGAGCTCTGAATCAGATCAGGTCAACCTGTGATCTGACCTAACCTGACCTGAAAAATCCAGGTCGGGTAGATAAATTTTCAGGTCAACATCAGGTTGGGTCAAGCTTATGGACCCGACCTGATAAAATTCAGATCAACCAATCAAATTAAACGAAATAAAATATTTAAAAAAAAATTTTTTTTTGTCTATTTTTTTTTTAAAACATCTTTAATTTTATTTAATATACTTTCTTTTTATATTCTAATAAAGTTGTTTGTATAATTACTTTGTAATTTATTATAATCAAAAGTTAAATTTTAAATTATAAACATTTTTGCAATTACATTGCTCAACAATTTAATTTTAATTTTTTTTTTATTTGTTTCAATTACTTCAAAGAGATATTTGAGCAATTTGGTCAAAGAAAATCGACTTTTATCGCATAAGTAATGTATCTCAGCGGATTCGAAAATATGTGTATATAAATTTTTATTATGATTGGATTAATAGTTTTAAAGTTATGAATGATTTCGTGATTGTATTATCTCATGAAATTCTATTTTGCCGATCACGTAAAATTGCATAAAATATGCATAGAAAAAAAATTATACCATACAAATCAATAATTTTAAAGATTGAAATATGTTCTAGAAAGTATATTTTATAAAACTGCATTTAACTCATTTTGGTAAAAATTGCCAGATATCGTGTTTCTATTGACAAAGCCCCGTATATCATCACACAGCCCTATAGGATTATGCTGAATTTGTTTGACCAATTTTTTTGTATAATATTTTGCATCAATTGCTAATCAATATTAAATAATAGAAGCTTATTGCGTTCAATATTTTTATTTATTTTCATATTCACTAAAGAGTATTCAAATTTTATCGTTATTGATTTATTGCAACGTTTTCTTGAAATTATTTACATTTTGTAGTAATGAACTCATTGTAAAGAAGAGACTATAACCAAATAAGTATTTAAATAATGAATATATCAACAAGTGTAAGGATATGCGTTTTTAAAAAATTGGAAATTAGTCACTTGAAAAAGCTAGCAACATAATAAATAGTTCATTAGATCTATTCGTTTTTTATTTATATAACTATATACAAGATTTTATTTTTAAATAATATAAAAAATGAGAAATTCTTGCGACGGCACCTAGTACCTGAAATATATGGAGATGATATATATCGGCAGCATACAAATATCAGATTGTATAATAATATCTACTTGGAATTATCTTTCGACAATCAAATCTTCAAATCTTCAAAAGTAATCTTAAAAAATGTCGTTGTGCTGCCAATTATTTTAAAAAATAAATGAGACTTATTTTAATAATAATTATTACCAGCCGATGGTTACAATTTTACATCAATTTAGATCTTACACTTCACATATACAGAATTTATTTCGAATCTGAATATGAAAAGGGACCAACTTTATTTTTAAGAACTGGGTGTTAAATAAATTCGGTTCAACCGATTACACGTGAAATGCTATTTAAATTATATAATTGAATAATTACAACCATTAGTTTAATATTTATTGACCTCTATAATCATTGATGTAAGAACCATGTAATTTAATAAAGACAATCAATTGAAATCATTATTAGACTTTCTAATAAAATTTGCAGAATATCATAAACTCTTTTCTTATTAAAATTTCATTTATATATTTTTCATTGAAAACAGGAATTAATTTTTCAATAAAATTTATTCCTGTATCATAATTTTCGCAGTGGTGCCCAATTAAGAAAATTCCGGATATGAAAAATAATCTTCACTACATTGTCTTTAAACAACTTTAGCTTCATTAATAGAGTGAATATATTTGTTAACCATTATATAATTTTCTTACATATTTATGATAAGATTTGGCTATTAGCCATAAGTGCTTAAGCATTTATGTAATTTGAAATAAAGATTTGGAAATTCATTAATTCAATTACAAGTCATTTAAATTGGAGTTATAATGGTTAAATACTTTATTTGACAATAATTTACTTTTTTTACATTTATATTAAAAGACGCTTCATGAAATTTTGTATGAAAAATTAGGCTATATAAGCATAAAATTTAATAGATTTCGCTAATTTCTGATATTTAATAAAAAATCAAGGAAAATTTAACATTCAATCATAAAATAATAACATTTCTGCACAATTTTTCAGGTATCATAACTAACCTTTCAATGCTTTCTGCAATTCATTCAGTTGAAATACTTGTATCCCGTCTTCTTCGGCACTAGCGTCACCATAATGCCTCATCATAATTGAGTTGGCAAAATTCTTAAGTGATTTCTGCCTATTATCATATTCATCTTTCTCTGCACCTTTATTATTATCAAGCCATACAATTGATTCTTGAATATTATCATCAAGTCTTTTCTTATCTGCTAGGTTTAATTTACCGGTAACTTTCTCGTCCTATGATTTATATAATTAATATAATTTGTATTGAGATTTAAAAATATGTTAATAACAATGTTAAATAAACTAACCTGAAATATATTACGCAAGTTATATGCATAACTTTCCAATCGATTTCGTGCTTGTATTGATTGTGCAACTTTCTCATCATTTTCACGAAATCTCTTGGCTTCAGCAACTGTTATTATATTTATATTTTTTTTTAGTTAATAATGTATTGTTGCATTAAAAAACAACATAGTTACAAAATTTTTTAATCGATTACATACCCATACATTCGATTTCATTCCTTGACAATCGAAAAGTTTCTTCTGTAATGGTTACTTTATTAGATTTTCCAGTTGTTATATTTACAGCGGATACCTATAATGAATTAATGTTAACATAATTCTATAAATATGTAAATAACGATAATAGTTCAATGCATAAAACATACGTTCAAGATACCATTTTGATTAATATCAAAGGTGACTTTGATTTGTGGAACACCTCTTGGTGCTGGTGGAATTCCAGTCAATTCAAATTTACCAAGCAAGTTGTTATCTTCAGAACGCGAACGTTCGCCTTCATAAACTTTGATCAATACTCTTGGTTGATTGTCATCATGTGTGGAGAAAATTTCAGATTTAATAGTAGGGACTGTAGTATTACGCTTAATAAGCGTTTTCATGACACCACCGGCGGTTTCAATGCCGAGAGATAAAGCAGCAACATCGAGTAACATTAAGTCTTTAGTCTTTCCAGAAGTATCACCAGATAAAATACCAGCTTGAACTGCAGCACCGTATGCTATTGCTTCATCAGGATTAATGGATTTATTTAATTCTTTACCATTAAAGAACTCTGATACCATATTTTGAATTTTAGGAATGTGTGATGAACCACCAACTAGAACAATTTCGTGAACTTGACTTTTGTCGATCCTAAAATCTCGGAGTACTTTTTCAATGGGTTTAATTGTAGCTTGGAATATGCTTTGATTCAATTCCTCAAATTTTGCACGTGTTAAATAGGTATAATAATCGATACCCTCGAAGAGAGAATCTATTTCTATGGTAGCATTTAATGATGATGAAAGTTGACGTTTTGCACGTTCACAAGCAATTCTTAAACGAGAGAGTGCTCGTTCATTCGTTATAAGGTCTTTCTTAAATCTGCGTTTGAATTGTCGTACGAAAAAATTTACAATACGATGGTCGAAATCTTCACCACCAAGATGCGTGTAACCATTAACAGCCTTTACTTCCAAAATTCCACCTTCAATATTTAGGAGGGAAACATCTAAAGAACCACCACCTAAATCATAAATAAGAACGTTTCGTTCACCACAAACATTTTTATCTAAACCATAAGCAATAGCTGCTAAAGTTGCCTCATTAATTATACGAGGTACATTTAAACCGGCAATTTCACTTGCATCTCTTATAGCTTGACGTTGAGCGTTATTAAAGCATGCTGGTGAACTAATTACAGCACTATTAACTTTTGTACCGAGATAAGCTTCTGCAATTTCCTTCATCTTTATCAATATCATAGAAGAAATTTCTTCGGGTGTGAAATCCTTAGCTTTGCCTTTGATTTCGACTCGAATATATGGTTTGCCATTCTTATCAACGACTTTAAAGGGCAAATGCTAATGAAAAATTAATTGATATAATTGACATAATAATAATTTATTGAGTTATTCGACCAATTTTTATTTTAAAAAAAAACAATAAAATGAAACATTGTTTAATAAACATGCCTTCATATCGGATTGAACGTCCCGTTCATCATATCTGCGACCAATAAAACGTTTGGCATTAAATATAGTATTATAAGGATTCATACCAACTTGATTTCAGCAGCATTTCCAAAAAGCCGTTCCGTTTCAGTAAAAGCAACATATGAAGGCGTTGTTCGATTACCCTGATCATTGGCAATAATTTCAACTCTGTCATTTTGCCAAACACCGACACAGGAGTATGACGTTCCCAAATCGATGCCAACTATCAAGTTTATAATTTTAATTTATTTACATTACATTTTATGTTCATGAAAATAAAAGGTTTCTTTATGCATACATACTAACTTTTCCTTCAGACATACAGTATTATTAGTTACTGAATATAGTTCTCCGCCCAATACCGCTGCTTTACTGCTTATTTAAAGATAACAACACAAATTGTTCAAGTCAAATAAAACATAAAAATTTAACAGAATATATTGAATTGTAATAATCAACATTCTTTATATAGTAAAAGATCATCGTAAATATTGCCGAAAATTAATTGATGAAAATATTGTTTTGTAATCCGAATGTATTTGTTTTCTTAATGTGGTAGCGATCGACCTATTATATTAAACGAACAACATATGGCATAGACGGGACGAATTTTCCTCCAGACAAACGACTACTGTCCTCGTCAATTTGTTCAGAGGAAAATTGTCCTTGTGAATTGAAGCTATAAAAATGATGGTATTTTGACCGAATTATGAGGACATGACTAAGTCTTGAGATTAGAAATTTCCCCTTTCAATAAGCCGCAGTGATTTCGCAAACAAAATATTTGTTAATTACAGAGCGCAATCGTTGAGGCAAATAGATTTTATCAAATAATTCTTGTATAATATTTACTTAATTAATGTCTTCTTCATTTGTTTATAAATACAAACTTGTACGTTTGGCCGCGCAAAAATTGGTTCAGTATCGTATAGATCATTTAGTTCTTCAAAATTAATTTTCAGAATTATCTTTTTTTTTTTTGAGAACTTAGTTATCCAAAGTCAATAAAAGGCTCAAGAATAAAATTTTTTCTTTTTTAAAATAAAATAAATATTTTTAAAGTTAATTTTTTATTCGTTGTCTTCAGTTAAAATCCACGATAGATTTTCAGTATTTATATAGATGATTTTGTATAAAAGAAAGTATCTTTTATCACAAATTACAACAAAAAAAATGAAAGGTTTCGCTTATATTTTGACGAGAAATTCCTTTCACTTTTGATAATTTAGACCTCATATTGTTGGTGTGACTCTCGGAAATGGTTAGGACAGTTTTAAAGATGTGAAAAAAAATAGAACATTCAATATGTTTGTAAATTCACACTTCCCCCCTTTTTTTAATAACGAAATGGAGTTTCAAATTTTTTTCCGGTGTGATTTTTAAGATATTACTAATTGTCCGAAGCGAAGCGGAGGACATTTACATTCTGTGCAAAAGGGTTTGTCTGTCCCGCACGTGACTGCACACACATATTAGGTGTAACCGGGACATTTACATTCTATGCAAAAGGTACCGATGTTTGTCTGTCCCATATATTATACAAGTGTTAAAAAAATTAAACTTTCGATACTGTTAAATAAAATTTTGATACCAATCAAATTAAACGATAACATATACATATACTTTCGTAAAACTTTAGATTAGTAAATGTATAAAGATATTAGTCATTCTTGGACTGCAAAAAAGGAACTTGTTCACGAACGCAGATCCCTATTAGTCTCGCGTGGGCTATCGCCGTCCACAAGAGTCAAGGACTAACATTGAAGAAGGCTATAATAGATATTGGGGAAAAGGAATATGCTGCAGGTCTTTCGTTCGTCGCAATTTCCCGAGTTTGCGCTCTCAATAATGTTCTTTTTAGACCATTTTCATTAGAAAGACTTCAGCGTGTTAAAAAATGTAAGAGGTTGCAAGAAAGATTGACTGAAGAAAGGCGATTAATATCAATGATTCCTTAATACAATTTATTTTATTGTAATTGCTTATTTATATAAAAACTTTATTATCTTTTTTATAATTGTTATATTACTAACTTAATTTAAATGTTCAATCGATTTTCAAAAAAAAGTTATATATATACTATATATACAAATATAATTATTTCAACAGCATAACATTATACTAAGTTGTTCTGAAAAAAATTGGAATATAACGGCGTGACGCTCGCTTCGGACGCACAACGGCCCCCGTTACCTAGTTTTATATTACAATAATATAAAATAATTTGTGTACTTTAGTCAATAAACATTTATATCACAATGCAATCCCTGTATTCATTTTCCGCTTTGCAGTATGTACAAAAGATTATTTCTTAAAATATTTTTTGAAGCTTACTTGTAACATCAAATAAAGATGAAGTAAAATCATATGACCCACATTTGAATGCCATCATATGGGAGCTGATCTATTAAAAATGGGTTATGAGACTAGTGATCAAAAAATACTTACGCCACAATAAACATATTTAGCCAATAAAAAATTGCACTAAAAATAATAATCAATTAATAAGGCGATACTTTAATTTTATATATATAACATTTTATTATAATAATTATTTTTACAAATATTAAATTATTTTAAAAATAATGAAACTATAAAATATCTAAAATTTTGCTATTAAAACCATACTCCGAAGCATTTTATAAAATCTAATTTTAGATATTTGATTGAAATTTAAGCATTTTTGCCGGCCAAATTACTTGTTTTATTAATAAGCTAATAGCCTCTAAAAATTTAACCAAATCAAGTTCATTTAATATACTATAATATGAATCAAAAATCTGAAAGGTTCCCGTAACCCATTTTTAATAGCTCAGCTCCCATATCTTGTTCCATCCTTAACAGTTACGAGAATTGAAATCAAATTAAATAACCCTTTATGAAATGGTTAAATATTGTTCGATCGTGTTTATTTATTAGTTCCAGGGCATTGTGTCCCATTTCTGTTTAGTTTAATTTTTAGTATTTAGTTAGACTTTTTGTAGATCGCAGGTTAGCATATATCCCCTTTCCCTTTATTTTGTAACTATAACGAAAGTATATAATAAATTACGTATCTAATCATGTAGAGCGCCGACGATTGAGGCAATACTTTATATACGTGAATTATGTTAGATTTAAGTTGTTACTAATAAAAATATTTAAATAATAAACCTTCTTCTTACCCTTTCTATTGTTTATGACCAATAAACGTCTCGAACTGCGTGTAACAATATGCTATAGAAAACTCATCTGGATTCAAGAGAATTGATTAACTTTCTTCGTATCTATTACCAATTATCGTTATTGTCACAGTCATTTTCTATCCAAATATCAATTTCTCTTCAACCTTATATCTTCAATTGAATCTTCTTACGTTACTCAAAACACATTATTATAAAATAAATTTAGTTAACAGTAAATGTATAATTAAATATTGATAATCAATAAAAATAACTAACCAACTATTAAATTGTCATATATTTTTTTAAACGAAAAATTTTGTAAAAAGTGTGAAAATCAATGAAATTAAGCTACAATCTAAAATATTAAAATTTTTATAATTAAAAATGTAGTTGTACGATAAAAGTATAATTAGTTGATTAAAGTAATTAACTTTATGTAATAAAAAAAGAAGTTTTAACCAAAAAAATCAGATTATTTAAAACGTATTATAAATCATGCTAACGTTTATTTTATTAATTAACGTTTTATAAATTTTTAAATTAAAAATATAACTTACCGACTAAAATACCATTAATAATTATAAATTATATTACAATATAATATAATTATTTACTCCCTATGTATTATTAATTATTAAAAAGTTGACAGTATAAGTTAAGTTATACAGTCAAACCTATATATAACGATATGTTGGGACATATGTAAAAATATCGTATCTTATATCAGATTATACCGATATTTATATGATATCAAATATAGTGGGAAATAAAATTTATCGGCATATCTATCAAGTTTTTAATAGCAGTATATCGGTATATCAAGGTCCGATACCTTATAATATTATTATCCTATTTTCATTATCTAATACTTTCTAAAAAAAATAAAATTAAAAAATTAAAATGATTTCAACATGAGCAAAAAAAATGAAAGTTCATCACCTCAATAATACAATATTGATGATACTGTTACACTCGATCCGTGACTGCGTAGAATAAGCCCTTTCGGAAATTTCAGAGGATACTTTAGACTCTTATGACTGTTCGAACTCAATTGACCTTAAGGAAGAATTGTGTTAAATTTGTTCTTTTTGACTTTAAATAGTCAGTCCGTGATTCAGCCGCCATTAGATGATATTTTTAAGGATTCCGTAGCAAAGGATGTGAAGGAAATTTTAGCTATAAAAATACTTCGTTTTACTATTATTTTTTGGTAGGATTGAACAAAGTTCTATTCTCTTTAAATCAACGCTACGATTGGCGCAGCAACTGCAATGCGACTTCCCCTGCGTACCCATCAAAAAATGTCACGTCAGCCCGCATTAAGACTTTTGCAGGCCCATATGCATGATCATGCATGTTGCCGATCCTTAATGTCGGCCATTTCGTGACATTTTTTGATGGGTACGCAGGAGTAGTCCTGCAATGCATATCAAAAATATCAAATATGTCTGCTATGGCAGACATATCAAATATGTTTTACATATCTTATTTATTTTATTTATCTATTTTTATTTGTTATATTTGTTTTATTTATTATTTTTATTACATTAATTTAATTTTATTTGTTAAATTTATTATGTCTGCTAGTAAATTGAAACAACGATTTTGTATAAATAGATTGGGAATTCAATCTAGAGAAAAACAGAAAAAATAACTAGTAAAAGCTTCTCTCAAAAGATTTAATTAGACTATTCTAGTTTATGATGATAAGTCTAAAGAAAAGCTTGTAGAATTCCAAATTAATAAAATAGTTTATTTTACCCTTCGTGTCTTCATAAAGGTTTTGATGCGATAACTAACTACACTAGCGAATCGTAATAATTAAATACTACATAAATTATACTAGTGCTCCGTAAGGGTCGGGTCGGGTCGGGTTTGAAGCAAACTCGAACTCGAACCCGTTAATATTTACAAGATCTGAACTCGACTTGACCCGATTATTGTTTGACCCGACCTGATTATTTTTTAACCCGGATTCGACTCAAATTTTCAAGGGTAATATTAATACTGAAATTAAAAAAAAACTATTTAAACAGATATTTAAAATATTTAAAAGAAGTATATTTATTAAATTTGTAAGTTTTATTTATTTTGGTTACGCATTAATCCTAATTTAGAATTTTTTTTATATATATTTTATTGCCACCAGGATTTCAA